GATATGTGTGTTTCAGGTCTCGATGTTTGGAAGTAGCAGAGTTACTTATAATAGATGCAGAGTCCTGTAGCTCAAAGTACATTTTAAATTCTGAAAATATTAATCATAGAAAGTGACGCTGAAAAGCTTAAACTGGAGCAGGGGTCCTTTGGATACTATTTACCGATTAATGAGTACACACATCTTCAGGGGAAACATTCCCTCAGGTACCGAGCACAGCAGGGCTTCCCAAGTGAGGAGCTATTTGTCACATAGTACCTAGGAAGAGGAGTAATCCACTTGTCTATCTTCTGGTCACTCTGTTTGTGGCAGGAAACATTACAGCTCAGATTCTTCTTACGTTCCTTTTTATCTTTATAATCATGTGGTGATTAATCATTAATAAGCACTGGAAATACTTACGATTTAGTACCACTGCTGCTAAGCCAACTAAAACTGCAAATGAATGGACCTAGACTTGGTTTGATTTTATGTCTCGGGTCCCCCCACCCCAGTGACTCTCATGTAAGCTTGAAACACTAGGAGAAGTCCAAAAGTGGTACATATACGCCTCCCAAATCAGCTAGTGATCACTTTCACCTATGGTGTAAAATGAGCAAAGGCCATTAAATGACACCTAATGAAAGTCCTAGAGCATCTTGACCAGCTAAGGAAGATGAATAGAGAGAATAAAAGTCTACCCCATTCAACAATAGTTTTGTCCATTTTATGATAGGATGGCAAACTTCTACACATATGGCTGTATTTACTTTTCAAGACATTGTTATGGGGTAAGTCCACAGGTGGTATTATGCATACTTTCTAGAATGGAAGCATAAATAGCTAGACTACAAATTTTGGAGTTGGGCTACTGACTTATGATCCACAATTCTTTGTTTTATGACCAATCAAACACTCAAACTTCCCTTCCAGAGTGACAGCCATGCTAACCAGGCTGAGGCACAAGGGAAGGAATCCTCAGTTGCCATCCTCTTCTGTAAGTTGTGAAGATTAAACCGAGTAAATATAGGAAAATATTTAAAATAGTTTCTACCTATTATGTGCTTGAATATGTATTATATTTGTATATAGATTTGTACATATACTAAATGCCCATGTTTGTATATATGTAGGCGTGTATGCAAACTTAAATAGATACTCTAGTATACACACAACTTGGAAGAGGGTGGTTATGTAATCAGGAGGAAGTACAGTGCTTCAAGCTGGACAACCTAACATCAAAAGGAAGAGAAACCTTTTATAAAGAATGTTGTTCTACCACCCACAAATCCTGCAGACTAGACATAATTCTATAATTGCTCATTCTCTGTCTACAACGAGGAAAGGGGGAAGCTGTGCTCTGCTTCTCTGAGCCCTTTTAAGCCCAGGAGTTAGAAAGGCTCACACAGGCCCCCAGTCTGGGTTTCCACCTCAGCAGTGCCTGTGAATGAGGAAGAGAAGATGGCCCAGTTCTCTGGTGGGTACTTGATCAGCTTTAAGGAATCCTCCATTTCTGCATCCCTTGCCTGCCACCTGCAGTGGAAGACAATAAGATGTCAAGTGTGTGTGTGTGTGTGTGTGTGTGTGTGAGAGAGAGAGAGAGAGAGAGAGAGAGAGAGAGAGAGAGACAGAGAGAGAGAGAGAGAGAGAGAGAGAGAAAGGAATAGTCTCTCTCTTCCTGTCCCAGGCTAAGTAACTTGCAGTGTAGTCTTCAGGAGAAGGCCAGTTGCCTGGAGGGCAGACCTTCCAAGGGGACTTTCCTTATAAACCAGCAGAGAAAAACCTCCACAAGAGCTTAGGAGACTAAGAGACAGGTTGGGGAGGGGGGCAGGTATGAGGACGTGGAAAGCAGAAGATAGCATAGAATCCATTTTTATTAATACCAGAACCTGAGTTTGGGTCACCTAGGAAAAAAGAGGGGAAAACTAAACCCTCCAGGCAGATGCTGGCCTTCCAGTTCACCTTGGGTGATGGTAAAGCTAGTTTTGGCCTGAGGTCTATGCCAGATTCGTGGGGCAACCGGGTTCCCAGCACATGTTGAGCAGGGGGAGAACCTTCCTAAGGATGCTCACTGCGAGAATGAGAATGAGAAACAGAAAGGTTGGAAGAGCTGCCTGCACCCAGGCGAGGTAGGTTGCTCAGTGCCCTCAGTTCTGGAAACAGAAAAGATGGGGGGTGGGGTGGAACAGAAGGTCTAGCGTTGGGACACATCGGTACTGTTGAGACAAGACACTTCCCTGTCCTTTTTCTGGATGTTACTAGTCCTTGCTTTTTCAACAATTTTCCATTTGAGGTCACATTGGCTCTCAAAGCACCTGCTGAGGTAAATAAGCTGTGGGGACAAGTTTGTCGCAAACAGAAAGCCATAGTTCAGAGATTCGGCACGGGACTCATCTCGCAATTTGGACTCGATACCAGATCACAGTTACACACTAGTCCCTGCCCGCCCTACAGAGGCTGTCACTCTCCAGGCTCCAGGTGTATGAGGGCTACAAAGTCGAGGCTGCTAGGAGTCGGGAACTTTCCCAGATAAGATCCGTCTCGGACCTAACTCTCCCGTGCTGCACATTCCAGCGGATATGCATGCGTCCCTTCCTGCCTCGCTCCCCCGTTGTGCAGGCCTTTGGGTGTCCGCTGCACCCCATAAATACGCCCTGTAATATATGGGCTCCTCCACGTGCAAACGCTAGGAGACGAGGGGCATGAAGGACTCTCAGAACCCAGATGTAGAAACATTTCCAGGCATTATTCCAGGGACTGAGACACAACAAATGCTGGGTAGTAACTGGTTGGCTTTGTGACCTGTTTCCCTCTCGCCCCCACCTCCCCACCCCCGAGCGCCGGTCAGGGCACTCAGAGCTCAGGCCACCTGTGAGGCCTGGAAGCTTGGGACACCTGGCACGGAATTTGTGGAACCAGCTTGTCTTGGGGCCCTGTGACCTTATTTCCTCCGCAGCTGTGTGTGGGCATTAACACAGCTTTAGTCAATGACCTCAGCTAGGAGAGGCTGTGACTTCTAGAAACTCTTTCCTGGGGTTGGAACAAGGGAAAGAATCGCAGGACTGCAGTGATCTGACAGTGCCGGTTTGAAAGAAAACCTTAGTGAGTTTGCCTTGGGTGGTGGTAAAACTAGTTTGGGGAATCCTTCCTTTACCACCTCCCGCCTGCACACAGCGAACTCGGCATTAGAGTGCCTGCCTAACTGGATCGCCTAGGCGATAACTCAGCCAAGCGACTTCCTGCTTGATAGTGTGTATGAGATAATGACCAAATCAAAGAGAATAACAAAAAGACTTTCACGTCTACTCGTGTCCTCCAGAACCCTTCCCAGGGGCAGTGTTTGCTGAACTTTTCCAGACAATCCATTTGGAATCTCCAGTGATCATGAAGCTGTTCAGGTTAAAGTGGGGGTTCCAGAAGGATCAGATAGAACAGGAAGGCAAATTGAAGCATTTCCCCCTCTTAAAGTTGGTCCCCAAGATGTCCTGTGTTTGCTGGGTTTTAGTAGATTTTTGTTCCAGTGGTAGAGTAGTTTCCCTGCACGGGTCTGCCAGACACTGGAAGCAAGTGCCTCCTAAGGACCATTTTCTATTCACACCTAAATAGCATCCTCTGTTCATGCCATTCCATTTTCTTCACAACTGATCTTGGTCTTTTTCTAGGAATCTCTCTTTAGGTTCAAATGTTTGGTTCCCTGGGAAACAAAACACAAAACCCCTCTTGAGTGCTAGAAGTAATTTAAAGGCACCAGAACATGTGTCACGGTTCTCCAGATGTCGTAGATAAGGTCACATCAGGTACTCCAAATGTTGTGAATAATGGTAGAGGATAACAGCACCCAAAATTAGTGTGGTAATTTTTGGACCATTCTTTTCACCTACATCTTGAGCAGGTTGACTGTCATATCATCGAACTGCTGTGTGGGAAAATTGAAAACAGGCTTTAAAGAAATATCTGAGCAACATGGATCTAAGGAAGCCAACCAACTAACTTTTCACCAAACTCAGTCACACTCCCTGAATGAATTTACTAGCCCTACACCTACTTTCTACTCTAAATGCAACTTGCTATCTGATGGTCTTAAAACACTGAAGGTTTCGAAATCCTTTAGGGAAAAGTTATTGGAAAGTCTTGAAATGGAGACCTTGGGTGAAGCTCCCACTAGAAATCTATCCACAAACATTCTTTAGACATAAGGGGGAAACCAACAGAATGTAAAAGTGTGTGTGTGTGTGTGTCAGGAAGGGGGGGTGTAGAGGTGTGATGGCTCTGCTCCTGGGGTGTGAGGATGCTGCTTGAGAAGGTTCATTGGCCTTAGAAGCTACAGTGCATACCACAGACACGTGCACAGGTATTCTCTAAGAATTGTTGACAGTAGCCACAGAGTACAGGGAAGCTTTTCATAAAGAACCAGTTGATTCTTCAGTATGTTAGTCTCAAGATCACTCCCAGTAAAACTGGGTCCTTTAATACACACTGACTATGATCAAACCATGATCTTTAAACCTGATTACTAGATAAATTCTGCTTGGAGTCCTTAATGGATGACAGAAAACAGAAAGTTCTAGGAACTTCCCATGGTGGAAACATCACTAGTAGAACCTAAAGTGGGTTTTTGTTTCATTTTTTAAATTTGTTCTCCCAGAAGCTGTACAAAAATGGGTCACATGTGTGAACATGTGTAATCTTCCTTCTGGAAGGGATGCTGACACCATGGTAAGTTAGCTGTATGGCAAGTGCTAAATGATTTGTCCTTGGTCACTCAGCCTAACACTCTTCAACTAAAGAATTTTCAAGCAGCAATCAACACTCCTGTTTTAGGCTCAAATAAACGAAGATGACACCGGCTTTGTGGTGCCTCACTGCTACTCCCTCCTAGCTTCTTCTCAAGGAATCAATGGAGATACATTAGCTACCCAAAGTATACTGACCTGCAAAAAAAAAAAAAAAATTAAAAACTTTCCAAATATTTGCTTTGAAGAAAATAGTTATTTATTGTCAAAGCATCCAACATACCTGGATAAACTATAAAGTTTAATAAATCTTTTAGGGATAAAAGAAACACATAACTATCCAGACTCCATTTCACTGCCACAAAGTTACACTTTGTATTAAAAGGAAATACATATTTACATAATTGATGACATTCTTCATTGAAGTCCATAATCATTTCATGATACATGCACTTCCCCCTGGAAACTTAAATTCAACGGTGACCCCCTTTTTATTTCTTTTGTTTATTTTCGTAAGAACACAGCTGTCATCAGGAAATGCAGAACGCATCTCACCTTCCTCTATTACTTTATATCTAAAATAAATTTTGTCCTTACATAGAGTTATTACATCTAAACCATAAGTGCTTAATAATTTAAGTAGAAACGTATGACAAATGCATCAATATGTTGCAATATATGACATTTTTTTAAATGTACCTTTGTTTTTTGGGAAAGTGAAAATCCGTGCATTCAAAAGAAAACCCCCTCCAACAACCCACCCGATCCAAAACCCACCATCCTGTCGTGTGCGTGTGCATGTGTGTCCCAGGTTAAACATTTGGACGATGAGGCCCCTGGCCAGGGGAAGGACCTGTGTGTGCACATGTTTAGTTGCAGTGTTTGGGGGCATCAGAAAGTGGTGGATGTTCTTGCGTGTCTGCTCCCACAGGTGACTTGACTGTGTGTGCACACGCGTGAAAAGCCGGGGTCCTTCCGATCAATTATGCGAGGTCATGTGCCTGGAGAGATGGTGACGCTCCCTGAAGGACTCGTTGCAAATGGGGCACTTGAGTTTCTCCTCCCGCCGGCGCTTCACCAGGGGTTCCATGGCATACTCCTTTTTGTGATGAGACCGCATGTGGTACACCAGGTCGGAGGTCATGCGGAAGGAGGCGTTGCACTTGGCACACCAGTTCTGCGCGGGCAGACACAGCGAGGTGAAGGAGGGCGGCAGCAGCGTGAGCGCCGAGGGTAGTTGCAGCTGCAGGGGCCCCGCGGCTGCAGCCGCCGCCGCAGCCGCCGCTGCGGAGCTCTTGGGCCAGAAGGCGGTGGCATAGAGGAAGGGACTCTGCTTGGGCAGGCCACCGCCGCCGCCGCTGGCAAGAGGCCCGCAGGCTCCGTTCAGGTCCGCAGCCCCCTGCAGCTTCACGGCCAGCGGATCAGCTGCAGCCGGGTAGAGTCTGGTGGGGCCCACGCCGTCGCCCGGGTGGCACGGCTCGAGTGCACCCAGCTTCTGTCCCAGGACCAGCGGAGACAACTGCGAGAAGGAGCGGGCCGGCTGCGAGAAGGCGCTCTTGCGCTCGTCCGCTGCAGCCGCCTGTCCGCCCCCCGCGGTCCCCGGGGTCCCCGCGG